TGTTTGTGTTTCTGGTCCCAGCTGCTGGTGGTCAGGGTTATGATTGGCTGAATGAAGGCAGAATAAGCCCGAAACAGTGCTGTATCAATCTACCCGCATTCTCTGTCGTCCCTCCTCGCTGCTATATATATATATATATATAATGCCTATATATATGTATACATACATATATATATCCTTTTTTTCTGACTAATAAGCCAGAAATGGCCATTCCAGTCGCCCTTGTCTTTGTCGGTAATGTCATTTCTGCCTTTATATCATGCGCCGTTTTGCGGCTGCTGGTTGGGCTCGAGAGAGAGCCCTTAAGGCACAACGGAACGAGTGAGTTCCGTATGAACGATCGGTGAGCCCCTCCTACCATCATATATATTGACAGGAAAAGAAGACATGCGGTGGCCGTGATTCATAAGCAAAAATGCATTATTTACAACAACGTCAGGGGTTTCTGAATATCTTGATGCTTTTCTCATGGAAGAAAACGTTAATGAGGCGCGGACAGTTCATCTTGCCTGTTTGTCTGTGCTTCTCTCTGTAGCGGCTAAGCGTTGATGGTGTACGCTCAGCACGCCACAAATTCAGGCCGTATCCCAAGTTGTTAGAAGCAGGACCCCATTTGGTTAGGACACTTTATTCTGCATAGAATAGTGAAGGGGAAAGTTGGCAACCGGACGAGGATGCGTCCGGCGCCGCGGAGGCGGCGTCCGCGAGAGCGACAAGCCCTGTGTCGCCGAAGGTTGCCGCTGCTAAAGTGTCGCTGCAGTTTGTTTACTCCATTGTTCTGGACTGTTCCCGCCTGTCTTACCTATCAGCGATAGGATTTGTGTTGATTGACTCCGAGCCCATGCGAAGGTAGTGATAAGCCTCGCGTGGTGCAGGCAGAGAATTGACAGAATGCGTGGTGCAGACAGTGAATTGCAACGAGACAAATCGAAGCCGGACAGACGTGCGTGCCATAGCAGGCTGTCGCTAGGACGTAGGTGCAGGCGCTAGCGAGAGGCGCGACGTAGCCATTATGGCTGCCACTACATCTCTTCTAATAGCTAGCCGTTATTGTACTGGACATCGTATGTTGCCTAGCTTATTGCTGTCTCTACCTGATGGCTATGTCTGCTTGTGCATTCTAACTGCAAGTCTTATTGTGTTCAGTTGGTTGTATCTTCTTTCCGCCTTAGTCTCCACCCGAAGGTCCCAGGTTAATTCGGGTCGTTCTCTCACTAAAACAAAGCCGTGGACTATAGGGGAGTTCGAAAGCCGTCTGCGATAGCCGAGCAGCCCTATTTAGGGAGACACTGCTTGCCCGCAAGGGGAGGGGCTAGAAAAGGAGCTCCAAAGTTGCTAAGAACCACGCTGTCCGTGGGCTGGCCGTGGTCGCAGACAAAAAACCCACGGATGAAACAGCCCAAAACCGAAGCAACAGCCATAACTCTCTTCCTCTTCCTTTCTGTTCTTCTTCTTCTTTTCGTCGCCTCACTCGACACACTGGCTGAGTGAGTCCGCTCATACTAGCAGCCTGGAATGTTCGTTCACTTTAAGAAATTAGGAGGAGCAACCAGCCGGAATGGAAGATAGCGCTAGCGGCTCGGGAACCGGCGCGCTACAGGGTGGAAATCGCCGCACTGATCGAGGCCCGGTTCTCCGAACAAGGCCAACTGGAGGAGGTGGGTGTCGGCTACACCTTTTTCTGGAGCGATCGCTCCAGGGCACAGTGACGAGATGCGGGTATCGCCTTTGCCATCCGGAATGACATCGTGGAACGACTGGTCTGTCTGCGGCAGAGCATCAACGATCGCCTGATGAGCCTCCGTCTGCCCCTCTGGGGAGGTAAATTCACCACTATCATCAGCACCTACGCTCCGCCGATGACCAGCCCTGACGCCGCAAGAGAAAAATTCCACGAGGAGCAGCACGCCCTCCTGGGAACTGTGCCAGAGGTCGATAGGTTGATTGTCCTTGGTGACTTCAACGCCCGCGTCGGCACAGATCATGCAGCCTGGAGGGAAGTGCTCGGTTCTCATGGTCTCCGCGGCTTCAACAGCAATGGCCTGCTCCTTCTACGCACCTGCGACGAACCCCGACTCATCTTAACGAGCACATTCTTCTGCCTGCCGATGCGAAAGAAAACCACCTGAATGCACCCTCGGTCGCATCAGTGGCACCTGCTGGACTATGTTATCGTCCGGAATCGAGAACAGCGGGACATGCTGGTGACAAGGGCGATTCCGGGTGCTGGCGTGTGGACCGACCATTGCCTTGTCATCTCGAAGATGAGGATCCGCCTACAGCCTTGCAGGAGACCTCAAGATAAGCGACCCCCAGGTAAGCTGAATATTGCCTTGTTGTCTTTGCCTGTTCACCATGTCCATTTCATCAATGAGTTTGCTCGACGGTTAAACAACCTTCCAATCGATGCCGCTGCCGCCGCCGCCGCTGCCATTGACGAGAACGCCTCCGTAAAGAACCGACGTTGTCAACTGCGGGACACAGTCCGGTCGACGACACTGGCCGTCCTCGGTCGCGCATGCCGACAACACCAAGACTGGTTCGACGATAGCGACACCGCCATCAGCAACCTGCTCGCCAAGAACCGCCTACACAAAGCCTACGTCGACCACCCCATTGACGACAACGGAGCTGCTTTCTACCGTAGTCGTCGCCTCGTTCAACAGCGACTGCACGAGATGTAAAACGCCTGGACGGTTCGCAAGGCTGCAGAGATCAAAAGACACGCCGACCGCAACGAATGGAAGTACCTCTTCTACGCGATCAAAGCTGTCTACGGTCCGACAACCAAAGACATTGCACCTCTCCTTAGCGCCGACGGCAGTACCCTCCTCACTGAGAAGTCACAAATCCTACAGCGATGGGTCGAGCACTTCCGAGGCGTCTACAAGGTCTACAGGCACGGCGGTCCCTAACTCATGGATCATCTGACTTTGCTACTCCTGGAGATGTTACGTCATGGTGAATTCCCGCAGGATTTCAAGAACGTCACAGTCGTGCACCTATACAGGCGAAAAGGAAACAATCAACACTTCGACAATCACCAAGGCATCTACTTGCTGAATATCACCGGGAAAATCTTTGCTCGAATCCTTCTTAACCGCCTGAATAATCACCTAGAACAGGGTCTTCTGCCGGAAAGCCAGTGCGGCTTCCACCGTCATCGCGCTACCGTGGATATGATATTCGCTGCCCGTCAACTTCAGGAGAAGTGCCAGGAGATGCGGACCTACCTGTACTCTACCTGCATGGATCTAACGAAAACCTTCAATAGGGTAAATCGTGAAGGAATGTCGAAGATCATGCGGAAATCCGACTGTTTCAAACGATTCATTCAGATAGTGCGTGAGCTCCATGACGGAATGATGGCGCGCGTCCCGGACAACGGAGCTGCTTCAGAGGCATTTGAAGTGACCAACGGAGTGAAGCAGGGATGCGTCCTAGTGTCCGCCCTTGCAGTCTTATGTTCTCTGCCATGCTGATGGACGCCTACCGTGACGAACGTCCCGGAATCTGCATCGCCTACAGGACGGACGGCCACCTCCTCAATAAACGGCGGATGCACTTCCAATCAAGCGTATCCACAACCACACTTCACAAACTTCTCTTCGCCGACGACTGCGCACTCAACACCACCTCGGAAGAAGACATGCAAAGGGACATGCGCCTCTTCTCGCCGTCTGCGGGAACTTCGGTCTGGTCATCAACACAGAGAAGACAGTGGTCATGCACCAACCGCCACTCAACACAGCCATCCCCTAAATGCGCTGCACATCAGCGTGGACGAAATCCAACTGCAAGTGGTGGACAACTTCCGTATCTGGGCAGCACTCTCTCCCGCAGCACAGAAATCGACGTCGAAGTAGCCCACCGGATTTCGAAGACCAGCAAGGCTTCGGCCGTCTGCAGAAAACCGTCTGGATTCGCCCTGGTTTGCATCTCAGCACGAAAATAAGATATACGAGGCCATCATCCTCCCGACATTGCTCTATGGAGCGGAGACCTGGGCGGTCTACAAGAGGCAGGCGCGGAGACTCAGTCTCTTTCATCTCAGCTGTCTTCGACGGATACTGAAGCTGAGTTGGCAGGACAGGATCCCAGACACTAATGCATTGAAACGGACGGGAATCCTCAGCATCTACGACATGCTGAGCCAGCAGCAACTGAGTTTTAGTGGCCATTTCGTGTGGTTTGACAACGAGTGGCTGCCTAAACGACTCTTCTATGAAGATGTCACGAGTTCCCGCTGCCAAGAAGGCCAAATCCGTCGGTACAAGGACGCTCTGAAGACCTCACTGAAGCTTCCGCAGATCAGCCGGGCCAACTGGGAAGACCTCGCCCGAGACCGACCGACATGGAGGACGAAAGCGAAGACAGGCGCTGCGATCTACGAGGCAAACCTCATCGCCGCCACGAAAGCCAAACGCGAAGCACGCAAGTCTCAGCTCTGCCCACCGTGCAACACCAACGTCCAACCGCCTCCAACGTGTCCACGGTGTGTGCGGACATTACAGGCACCAAATGGACTTGTTGGACACCTCCGAACCGATTGTAGCACTCGGACTGCACCAACCGTCGTCCCTCCATCCATCTCTCCCTCGCCTCCTACGTCGTCAACCAACATTGATCGCTCTCCCGAGTCATCACTGCCATCCTCCTCCTCCTCCTCCTTCACCGTCCGAGCGTCTGACGTTGTGGCGTCTGTCATGCCTATTAACACTACACACCATTCTGACAACAACAACAACAACAACACCACAGCAACACCACAGTCGCCGACACCAGAGATGAGGACCAGGGCTACGCTTGCCCTCACTGCGACCGCACCTTCACCTCACACATCGGTCTGGTGGGTCACTTGCGAATCCATCGCACAGAGACTGGCGAACCGGTGCATGAAGCACCAGCCTTCACTCGCTGCATACGCCTCCACTCTCCACACTGCCCTCGCGCATTCATGCGCCGCATGGGCCTATTCGACCACACGCATACACATGAGA